CAGTGTTGGGTGCTTTACGGTCTGCCCTTGGCCCTGTCTGTGTGTGGTTTGGAGTCACTACTGATAACTCTATAGCAAGTCAAATATTGTGCCCATATTCAAGTACATACAAATATTTGCATACGACCTTGGGAGCCGGTTCTGTCTGAGTCTGTCTTACGAGAGAATGCCTGGGTCAGGCCATGACTGAATTGACAGTGCCATTATAGTCCGAGGTGGGAACAAAGTCTGAGAGGTGTCCGGGACTGCCTGTGTAGTAAATAGGCGCGCAGGAAAAAGAGCACTTGCTGTGCTGAGGCTGAAGACAGTGCCAGGTCCGGTGCGTACTAGTCCATGATAGATGTTTCGGTAAGGTTTAGCGCTTTGAGGAATGGGGGAATATCTTGGTGGGTTGCGATTGTGTATGTGGATCCTCGAGTGTTAACTATTAGGGCGAAAGGAAAGCCCCACCTGTATCGTAGGTTGCATGTGCGGAGTTGATCCGTTATGGGCCTCAGGGCCCTCCTCGCCTGGGTGTGCCATGAGAGGTCTTGGTAGATCTGTATTTCATGTCCCTGGAATAGCATGGGGGTGGAAGTGTCCCTCAATTTCCTAAAAATATCTCTGAGTGCGAAGTAATGGATGCGACATATGACGTCTCTTGGTGTCTCACCCATTCCTGTTTTGGGTCTCAGGGAGCAGTGCGCTCTGTCAAGGATGACCGGAGTATCAGTTTTGCGGCCTAGTAGATTAAATAGTGTGGAGAGTGTGACGTACAGATTTTCCCCCTCAGTCTCCCGTAAACCCCTTATGCGGAGGTTGTTTCTTCTGCCCCTCTTATCAATATCGTCTAGGGAACGTTGTAGCATGGATAAGTGTCTTTCTTGGGCTTGAACTTTGGAAGATAGGGCCTGCATTTGGGTTTGGTGGGACCCCCTTTCATCTTCCAGGTCTTGCACTCTGCGGTCTACCTGCCTGATCTCTGAGCTGAGGCCGTCCATCTTGTGCTGAAAGGTGTTTTCTAATTTACCCAGCATTTGTGCTAGATCCGTTCTGGATGGCAGGTTTCTCAATTAGTTCCCTGGCATCCATGTCTGTTGAGGTAATAGAGGTTTCAGATGCTGTGGGGCTCGGTGGGTTAGAGTCTGTGATCACCGCCGTCGGCGCCATATTGGATTCGCCGTGATCTGACACGCGGTCGACGTATTCTTTGAATAATCGGGTAACCGTTCCTGTTTTGCCTGCTGGTGTCTTCCCAGTGTGCTGGGGATTTGATTGTGCTCTTTTGGGGTTCCCCATATCGGTGTCTTGCCTCCAAAGTTAGCGATTTTCATCCGTTGTGCTCGGAGCTGTTCTAGTGTGCTGGCATACAGCTCGGCTGCTAGCCACGCCCCCAGATAATTGCAGATTTGTGTGAACTCAATGGAAAGAAATATCTGGTGATTGTAGAATATTACTACAGGTATCATGAAATTGCATCCTTAGGTAGGGCAATTAGCATGGCTGTCATTATCAGTCTTAAAAGCATGTTTGCCAGATGGAATATAGCATTGAAGTTGGTGAGCGACAATGGAATACAGTTTATTTCCATGGAATTCATATCTTTTGGTAGAGAGTATGATTTCCATCACTCTACTTCCAGTCTGCAGTACCCGCAGGCCAATGGAATGGCTGAGAGAGCTTTTCAAGCCACCAAGTTTGTTTTGAAGCAACCAGCACTGGTTGTAAACACTATTGTATTGAAACACATGTATTGAGATAGTCTACTTGATAACAAGCTGATGCCAGACACTATAGGTCACCCTGGGTTATTGTTCTTGTTCTTATGGATGGTTGGAAGGTGGAAAAACACTGGGATCATTGGGTGAGGCACATTTAAAAACGTAGATTATTTTCCATTTAAAATGCCTAATATCTTACCTTTTTTAATTAATTTATTGTATGATATTTTAATTTCACTAGTGTGGTCTCTTGCTACCGATTGAGAAAACTCTGAGTCAGTGAAACACGCCTCGGGACAAGGAAGATTATGGACTATTTGAGCATTGCAATTAACCTTTTTTAATTATGTTTTAAATATTTTACAGGTTTTTTATTTAATCACGCATCAATAAATCCTTTTTAGTCCAACAAGTTGTTCCAGCTGTCTGCTTCCAAAGAAGGGTAGTGCCCCCTAAAAGCCACTTGTCCATTCCACCTAGAGCCACGTCTTTCAGAATCTATTTAAGGTGAGCAGTGATTTGCTGGCAATATATTTTATATCTGTATTTTGGACATATTACACTAGGAGCCTGTGTTTCTTTTTCTCCTCTATTCCTTTATGAGTACACCATTGAAAAAAACAGTGCTAAGGAGGATTGTGTCACCAGAGTACACTACTGTACATACGACCTGAGCCTGTCCTCTGAGGCTCATGTCCATTTGAGTTTAACTACAACCACTTATTATATATCTCAGAACTGTGTGGTTTTACACTATATAGGGGTTTTTTTTTCCCACTGTTTTAGTTTACACTCCTGATCCAATCAAGTGTTTCTTACACCAATACACTCCACTCTTTAGGCTGATGGTTGTTTATCTTCCTTCAACCTTTTTCTTTGTGCACAGACTAACTAATTAGTTATTTGCAGGTGAAAAGTATTTGTGCGCATGGTAATCAGGAACAAGCAAAATAGGAAATCAACAGACAGTCTCAACAGATAAAAGTTGAGTAGCTAGGAAAAAGCCAAATTGATCACCAAGAGACATTGTCTGCAAAGGTAACTTCACAAGGATGTGCCTTTTAGTTTGTGGGAGATGTTTGTGAAGTAGCATCTCTCCCTATATGGTGCTACACTAATGTCATCACACATGTAAGGCAATGAAAGGGGATGTCAAAATGATGAGGTGGCAGACTGCCATGCATGCCTGAACTGTAATAGGAAAGAGTGGGAGGATATTGCCAATGTCCGAGAGGGTAGTGAAATCAGCAAGCAGCTCTGCTATTACCACGACCCCACCTACAACCACCACCTACACCTTCACAATGTAACAAATATAGACTTGCCTAGAGTTCAACATAATGAGGGTTATTCATGAACATGTGAATGATCAGGAATTTAAAATTAATTTAAACTGAATTTAAAATTTTATACCAAAATAGCAAAACTGAAAACATGACTGATGTGGAGATATTCTTCCAATACGGCTGTTATAGATTAAAATGTTAAATTCACTTTGAATTCCTGACAATTTATAATATTAGTGGATAATTCTGAATGGTTTAAAGCTAAATGATCAAGCATCATTCAACTCAGATAAAGTGTACGATAGAATGAGTTTAGCAGCTCTGTAATCAGTAAACATGCTAAGTGCACTTGAGCTAAATTTGATCAAGACCAAGTTTGTGGATCTGAGCTGAATGTGTGTGCAGTAATCATATTAGTGAGTAGTGATCATATTATCCCAACATAAAATAGCAAACAAAAAGATGGGGAATGGAATGGAAATAGCTATAAAATGGAAATTTTAATATAATAAGCCTAAAAGAGTGACATATGTAATTATTCAGATTAATAAAAAAAGTGCGTTCCTAACATGTTTACAAGCCTTATAGAAAAATTGTATTAGTGACCATAAACTATAAATAAAATGTAATAAATAGAGGGAGAGAAAAGTGTACAATTATAATGTGGTGTAGCATGAGTCCCTGGGGGTATAATATAGAAAGTCCCAGTTATACTAGTGTATATCTTATTGTATACTGTTGTGACATGTTCAGTGCCTTGCAGGGTGAACCCTGTCTGCCTAGATATTCACTGTAATATGTGGTATTAGACTCCGTTACATACACACGCAGGCATATCATCCCCAAGGGAGAGCTTCATGTAAACAAAATTATTGAATTAGACATCTGATCAGTAGACACGGTTGCAATGCCCAAAAGCTGAATAGTAGAAGCAAATGCCTGACCACAGAGCTTTTCACACTATACACACACAAAAAAAAAACTTTAAAAGAGCTTTGCAGGTTGCTATTGCAGGATGCAGCTGCTCACAGTGTGTGCACATTCCCTCTACCTCTAGACATTCGGATACTATGTAGAAACCCTGAACATTAGTGCAGACTGGTCGAGTAGGACAGGTGAGGCGGCATTCACCCCAGTATTTGTTGCAAAATAAAAATTTATTCTATTCACATTGTAAGGACTACTGATAAAATTGTGTTAAAAAAAACATGTGTCTGGATTACATCTGCAGTTTCAATTCTTCTCTTTATTGACGACTGGAGATGCAGCTGGTTTTGAACATGGTATGGCATCTCATGGGGTTAGGTTGGTAAAGCCCAACAAGTCAGGAGGGCAGCACCATACCATTATTAACTGTCACCAGCTGCCACCGCGGTACACATTAAACTATGCAAGCTCCTATACATTGTGGTAGAGAGAGGTATTTATAATACATCTGCAGGAAGCAGGGGTACCGTCCAAAGTAATGTTTAATGTATTGTTCCTTTCAGTACGTTATAATACATTATTTAATGAAAAGCAAAATGAATATTGTTTTTCTAATATTTTTTACATAAAACGTTTTAAAAAATAATTTGATTAATGAAGTTACAGACAACAAATTAGTATTGAAAAAAAATTTACATTTCTAAACTTTGACACTTTCCCCTGTAAATTATGTTCTCTTTCACAGTATCCCCAAATATTCCACTTGTATATTGTTCCATAGTTATTCATATTGTTCCCATAAAGTGTTTCATGTGTATTATATATTGCCCTCACATTGCTCCCTTGTTACCTTTTTGGACACACACATATACTCATATACACGCACATTTATTTATTTATTTATAGATGTATAAAATCTTTTACCAGGAAAGATACATTGAGATTTCTCTCGTTTTCAAGTATCCTTGGCATTGTTACAATAGGGTACAATATAATATTACAAATATAATACAATATATATATATATATTTACACACATATATTTACACACATAACAGGTAATAAATATAATCAACCATGATTACAGGTGCATTCTGTATTGATGTATGTTGCCATAGATCTCTTAAAAGATTTTAGATTGAATGAAGATTTGACTGTGTCTGTGAGGTTATTCCATAATTGTGGTGCTCTGTAGGAAAATGAGGATAGAGCCACTTTATTTTTGTATTGCGGTATGCTAAAGTGCTGGCACTGGATCGGAGGTTACAGGAGGTGGGAACAACCAGGGAGAGCATTCTACTCAGGTAGGGTGGGAGCTTCCCAGAAATGCTCTTAGCACAAGGCTGGAAAGATAAAGATTGCTTTAGGATTCCTGCGATAGCCAGTTTAGCTATTTTAACAGGACATAGTGTTTGGTCATGTAATTGCATTGTAGCGCAAAGTGGCAGAACAAATTATACAATGTAGTAAGTTTATGAAGGTGGGTAGCACAGGTTCATAAACTATATCCCCATAATCAATGACACACACATATCCATACTGACACACATCCACCCTAAAGCACACAGATACACATAGACATAGGAATTGCTAAGGGGGCTTTGGGGGTTGAAGCCCCTGTTTGAAGCCCCTGTTGGGGGACTCTTTAGCGATGGAATCCTACAAGTGGCAGGTAAATTGTTTTTTTATTTTTTACATTTATATCAGGCAGTCACCTGGCAGTCATCAGTGATGTTACCTGATATATAAAGAATGATCACTTGTACACTCCACACAGAGGAGAAAGGCTGGGGGCACCTACTTCAATTACACCTCACAATGTGGCATCTCCCAAGTTATGCAGTTCTCTCAAGCAATGGTGTTTGTTTTAAGTGCCCTGCAATTATGTTTGATTTTTTTTGTTATCTTTTCTTTACCTCACTCATGGTTCTGTTGCAAAGTTATCATGCAAGACATACATATGTCACAATGTGGGTTCCCTCGCCCTGGCGAGTAACCTGTTTCGAGGCCTAAGCATTGTATGCTCATTACCCTTAAACTCCCCCCCACCCCCGTGGCTCCCTTTGGTCAGGGGCCGTATAACATGAGATAGCACACATAAGTCCCGAGCTTTGGTCTCACTCCCCAATAGGCAGAAGCCTGAGCTTGGGCTTGGATAATACCATACACAAGGGTACAGCAGAGATGGAATCTGCCTCCTGTCACGTATTCATCCGCACATAAAAATGTGGTTAATGGCATTTACCATCCTGACAGGAAAAGTTGTGCCGAGCAACATTAATGTCCTGACAGGAAAAGTTGTGCCGAACAACATTACCATCCTGACAGGAAAAGTTGTGCCGAGCAGCAATTTATAATCCTGACACCCCCTTCTGTTAATTAACGGCTGCAACCCCACGCATGTTTTTTAGAAGCCACTGAACCTGTGTGGTTCAGCACGACTCCATACATACAGTGGCGGCAAGTTTATTCGACCTTAGCCTGCGACAACTATATGCACCACAGCCACTATAGAATTAGCTTGTTCCCGCACCTCAAGTTCTACATAATAATAAAAATGTGCAATGTTCTTCTATGCAACTGTTAAACTATGCCTTATGATAAGCCTGTACCTGATGTTGTGGCGATACAAGCATGTATGTATAAATTAATGCACAACCTAAATAAATAAATTAATTAATTAATTAATAAAATAATAAAAAAAGAATAATCACTTGTAGAGTATTTAGCAAAGCTACTAAGAGAGTAGTACACATCACAGTACTGTTGAGAGGGGGTGCTGGGAAAAGCACATTGAATACCTGGCTATGCAGTAAGTGAATTCATATTCTGAAGAGCATTAGCAGCACATAGTTCATGGGTATAGAGGAGGGGATATAATGCACAAAAGCAATGATATGCCATGAAATATCCCCACATCTCTATTAAGGTTGGGTTCATCATGTTTTGTTTTGGGCTCATTCTGGCACCCCTTACAGAAACACACTGACCCAGACACATGGATACACACAGACAGACATAGGCACACACAATTCCATTCATATCCCACTAAACGTCGCCAAAATCTCTCCTATGATAGGCAATGTGGTTCCATTAAGTCGCCAACTGCCGTATTGTGGAATGTAAGCAATCAGTGACTTATCCCATAGATAGATAGCATGCACAGTGCAGATGATTATGGGTACTACGTTTCCCATAATGCTAAGCCAGCTTTATGAGCTATTCACATACAATAGGGTGCCATGTTTAGTCAATATTACCGTGCCCCTTTCTTCCTGGGAGGAGTAGGTGGGGCACTGTGGAGAGATAGCATGCTCAGGTATACTGAAGATGTCTACATTTCTACACATGCATCTCCCTGGGTCTAGCCAGTAAGTGTACATTGTGTTATCTGCTTCAGTCACGACTGCACTCTCACCACTGCTTGTGCTGTTGTGGCTGTAGAGGGACAGAGCTCCCTCTAAAGGTAATGTGAGCTCTTGAAGGCTTTGCTGCCCCTGGCCGCATGGATGAAAACCTCTCTAGCAACATTCATGTGTCTGCAGGCTCACAATGACATGTGATCCTTTGCTGCAAGCCTCATACCTGGTTGGTTGGCTGGCTGGCTGGCTGTAGAAAGGCTCCAAAATATTGACTGGCATGTTTATGTTGTCTGGCCCTGCTCTTGCCCAGATTTGCCATGAGTGGGATAGTGAAGCATGGATTTAGGGAGGAGGACTTGTTCTGTTTGACATTTAGTGCTTGATCTACAATGGAAATTTGCATAAAACTTAATTTAATTTTCAATTCCAAAAATCTAGTATACTCGATTTTGATTTATAGGAGCATACCTTTGAAATAATTGATACGCAATTTTGGTAAATAAAGGTTTAACAATGGTTAATCCCATCAATACCAGAATTGAGTATAAACGTTTTTATTTTCATGTATTTTGTAGTATAAAATTTAGTCCATAAAGCCTTACCCACCCTCATTTATACTCTAGTTATAATTACCAGCCTAGTGTAGAGGAACAAACTTCTCTACCATAAGACACTAGTCACTGATATAATGAATGCAAAGTTGCTGAAAATGAAAGCTCACAATCAAATAGATACAGGAAGTTTTACTGGGTGATTGCATTCTTACAGTGAGGGGGGCAGGGGAAATAAGTGAATGGTCTATACCATTCAACATCAGCATTACATTAGCCGAGACTGATAAAGAGTGCTATAGCAGTTTTAAATACCTTTATTATAGAAATATATGATTTTACTGTATTTATTGTGTGTGGGCATTGTTACAACATTCAGGTGCCTTTAGGGACCTTACAAAGTATTTGACCAATTTTTATTTATATATATTTTGTCACACCTATTGTATGTGAGAAAAATGTAAATGTTGTTTTTATGCTAACATTTCAGATCCTGTGTGAAATATTGCAAGATTTAAAGACACTGTATACTGTCTAAAGCTTTTAATTTGGAACGCCCCGGACGAAGGACCTATAGTAGCGCTGAAACGTGCATCGGTTTACTTTTGCTTTTAATTTTTTTTCACTGCACAAGTTTATCAGCATTTATGGTGATTTGATTTCAGATTATTATGGGGGATTATTAAGCAACGATATATTCTATTAGGGACGCTTATAGAGGGAGCTAGGTAACTTTATTAGGGGAGTACTGGGAGATTTTTGGAGGCATAGGGTATAGAACCATTGTTTTCTTTTTTCATCAAACCTTCTTTTTAAATACATTTCTTTAGTTAGCGACCATGAAGTCGAACTACTACTAAAATAGATACAAGAAGGTTGATGAATGTTTCCTTCTTTCATTTATGTGTAACTAACAGATCATAATCTGTAATAGTCCACATATATATTGTTGGACATATTGTTACACAGGGAAACAGTCTTTTACACCCAATAGACACATTGTCTCTATTCCCTGCATTTTCTTATTTGACCTTGTATATTGATGGTGCAAGCTACTGAGGAGTTTCTTTATAGTTTCCTTGCTTAACCATCATGGTCACATTATTTGCTATATGCAGTGGATACTGGACTTGTCCAAGACACTGACGTATTGCACTCCCTACTCCCACTTCTATCCCTCTAGCCAATTCCTGACTAGTACAGTACATATCTTCTCCTCCTTTATAGCCGTGGAGCCTCTTTTTGGCTCTGTTGTATCTTTATGTCTTGACGTATCTTTAATAAAATTGTACTTTATTGTCATTTTTTTCTTTTATCCTTAAAAGTGACCCATTTGTGTCCGCTGGACTTTATTTCCATTGGACATTTCTGGGCTTTTTTGTCTACAAAAAGGGTCCCTTTACACACCAATAGTTCCCTCCCCAGGGGACCTCTCTGTTTTTTGTAAAGCTTTTAATTACCCAAATATTTTTATAAAAGATGAACGAATAAGTAAAAAATAAAAATTGTTTAACTGTATATCTTTTTAATTCTTATGTTTGTCTGCAAAGCAATCTATGCAGAAAATGGCCCAGTTATGATTTGCTTCTATTCTATCTATGCACATCTTGCTTCAAATAAATGTTTTGCTTATATTTTTTAAATCAAAAAATTGCTTGTTAATGAAGGCGTTATTGGCTGCTCTTTTAAAGACATGCATGGAAATTATCCAACGTGTGTTCCTATTGTTGATAGTGAAGGAGTTAAACCAAATACAAGAAGTACATTGACAAAAATGTACCTGTTCTGTCTGATCTCCTTGAGTGGACACCCACCATGATTATAAACACTAGTCTCATCTATCTTGTACCATGCAATGTGCTGTTTCTGTGACTTCCAGAAAAGGCCAGTGCTGTGGCCAGGTTACTACTAAGACATGGCCCTATACATACTCACTCTACACTCTCTGTGAATGCATGCAGAAATTGTAGGTGTGCCATTACCATGATCAAGTTTAAACTTCCCTTAATCTGAACCAGTTTCTTCAGAAACCAGTATGGACTGTCAAAATAAGTCATTAATGTGTGAATCTTTTAGGAAATTCTAAGTAAATTTAATGTCTAAATAATAATTCTATTCTAAATAATTTTAACTATCAGGACACAATATTTGATATTCAGTAATGTTTTCAATTTGACCACTTTGCTTAAAATGTTTAATTTCCTATCAGTGTTATTTACTACAGTGAGAATTGAAGGACAGGAAATCAAAATGAATTTAAACTTTATTAGCCAAACTAGAAGCATAGTTGACTTGGAGACAGTGGCGGATCCAGAGCCTGATCTCGGGAGGGGCACTTGTAGATTATTTAAAGAAATAATCCAGACACAATAACAACTACAGCTCAGTGTAGTGGTTATGGTGTCAATAGTGCCGGGACCCCGTCCCAGAGTAAGTAGTCAAACCGTTTAAGAAAAGTTTGACAACTTACCTGAGGTCTGCTGGGAAATGGGGCAGTAGTAGGGCATAGGAGCAGTGGTGTGTGTGAGTGGTGCAGTGTGTGCGCAGTGTGTGTGTGAGGGCGGCAGTGTATGTGTGGGACAGTATGTGTGTGTAACAGTTGCAGTGTGTGTGTGAGTATTGCAGTGTATGGAGGCAGTGTGTGTGTATCGGGTAGTGTATGTGTGTAGAGTGTGTGTATGGGGGGCAGTGTGTGTATATGGGGCAGTGTATGTGTGTAGAGTGTGTGTATGGGGGCAGGGCAGCATGTGTGTATGGGGGACAGTGTATCGGGTAGTGTATGTGTGTATGGGGGGGTGGTGTGTGTGGGGGGGGCAGTATGGGGGGCAATGTATGTGTGTATGGGGGGGCAGTGTATGGGGGCAGTATGGGGGCAATGTGTGTATAGGGGGGCAGTATGGGTGTATGGGGGCAGTGTGTGTATGGGGGGGCAGTATGGGTGTATGGGGGGCAGTATGGGGATCAGTGTATGTGTGTAGAGTGTGTGTGTGTAAGGGTAGGGGGGCTTTTTAAAAAATATATTTTTTTTAAATTTAGTTTAATAAAAATAATCATTATGTCCCCCCTCCCTTCTTACCTTTACTGGGGAGGAGGAGGGACATTTCCCTGGTGGTCCGGTGGGCGATTCATTGGTGGTCCGGTGGGCGATTCATTGGTGGTCCGGTGGGGGATTCCCTGGTGGTCTCAGTGGTTACAGTGAACTCTAGGCCGCGCTCCCGGGCTAGAGTTCACTCTCGCGAGATTTGGAGCGTTGCTGTGGTAACCGCGGCAACGCTCCAAATCTCACGAGAGGAGGACCCGGAGGAGCTGCAGACTGAGCTCCCGGGTCCTCCCTCTCCCTCCCCTGCCGGCTGTCAGCACAGTGCCTGCGGACCGGGGAGGGAGAGCTCTGATCTCCCCTCCGGTCCGCAGGCACATTGCAGGGCTGGCACCTGCATGTCCTGGCAGGGGAGGGAGACTGGAGGATTTCTCGGGGGGGCAATTGCCCCGTTGCCCCCCCCCCCGGATCCGCCACTGCTTGGAGATTTATTTCCACTTCTATTTTAAATGTGAAATCTACTGTGAATTCCCCACAATTCTTGCTTTAGTGATAACCCACTTTGAATTCCTGATAAGTTAATTAGTCACTTTAATGAATATACATTACAAAAGTATGCACACCAATGCTATTTCAGACGTGTACCTGCCTTATGTAAGTTTTGCGATGCTTAGTTAGTTCAGGCCTTGGTACTATGTTACCATCAATATTATAAGTATAAAATAAATATATCTTGAAATGTTATTAATCTTGAAAAACCTGGAACCCCTCCACCCCCCAACCCTCACCCTTCACCCCTTCCCTATCCTAATAATTAATTCTTAGTGTAAGTTCTTGTCTATTTGCATTATTCCTCTGTTCTTGGAGAGAGAGAGAACCTCTTATATCCTGTGTAGCATCAATGTTTTATTTTTCTGTTTTACTGCCCGTTTTGGGGTTGTATGCCCTTCCCTTCTTCACTCCTCCTCTGGTCTAACACTTCCCTACGCTGCAACTGAGCGTATGCTCTACCTCTGTTGGTTATTGTTATCTGAATTCTGATGGAAGGAAAGTATAAATTAAAAGAAACAAAAAAAAGAAGCAAGAAAGAGAAATCACTACAAAGAGCATAAAAGGCCTGATATATTGTCCAATTTATTTATCCATGTGTCCCAGTCTTCTATTTGCTTGTATCTGTCTCCTAAATTCACCAGAATACCCCTTTCCATTCTTGCTTGCCATATAACTTGTTTTATCAATTCATGGGTACGTGGAATTATCCCTGCTTTCCAGTTACGTGCTAAAAGTAATTTAGCTGCCGTGATGATGTGTAATATTAACATTCATGTTCTTTTTGTCATATGTGGCCAGTTTATGTTTACGAAGACCACTTCAGGCTTAAGAGGTAATTTTATTTCCGTTAGTTGATATATTATCCTTATTACTTCTTCACAAAATGTATTAATGGGTGTGCACTTCCACCATATGTGGATCAAATTACCTTCGTTAATGTTACTATGCACAAGATGAGGCAGAGGCATCAGTGATGCCCACCGATTATCAAAGGTAAAGAACACAGTAATGAAAAGTTAAATCCGAGCTGCAGGGTCTCCTTACTGTAGTTCCAACAATGTAACAAGCAGATAGACAAAAAACGTCTTCGCATCAAGTAGGTAGTGCACACCCAGGTGCTACTGCGGTTTATTAGAGGACACAATATAAATAAAAGTTTCGGGCAACAAGCCCTTCCTCAGTGCTAATGTCCTACACAATACAAGCAGTACAGACAATATATACAAGTGAAAGCAATGCTTACATTCAAAAGAGTGTCACCCACCAGCAATAATGCAAATTAACAGCTGCTGAAACTGACAATCAATCTCCATGTTTCCAGCATGTCCATAGTCTCTAGTCACTTCCTGGTTCAGTTGGTCTGTGTGTGATGACGTCAGCAGACACGCCCATTGTGTGTGACATCATCACATTCCGTTGCTAGGAAACAGAGCAGTAAACAGGAAACTGTATAGTAATGCAAATAGAGCAGGAAAAAAACAAAACACTCATCAAAATGAACACGAGCAAGCAGTAAATTGTAAATAAGGAGCATAAAGCTCCAGAAAAACTTATGGGGTCTTGGAAACTTGCCAGACAGCCACACATTAAAGAAGAATACAAGTCAAAGTACAGAAAAAATTTGAAACTGTCAGAATGACAGGTGGAACTAAATAGAAAAAAAAGGGCAGGTAAAACCTCTAAATATAAATCTAGCACCCCCCAAAAAGGGGAGGAGAGTATACAGTGTGCCAGGGAAAGATGGAACTATCTACAGAGAGAGACTAGGAACATAATAGAAAAGGAACATGCAAATACAAGGTAATATAAGAAAATATATGTATACATACCCAGATCCAGGAGACCTCCCGAAGCGGGCACAAGCTGGATGCATCTACAGGAACCAGTGCCACTCAAGCTTCTCATTGAGACCATGAGGGGACACTGTGTCCAGGAGGTGAATCCAGCGCACCTCTTTTTCGAGGAGCATCTTTTCCCTATTACCTCCTCTCATAAGTGGAGGGACCCTATCAAGTACTTGATACAGTAGTTGCTACACATTATGTCTCTTTTCCCTAAAATGTCTTGCAACTGGTGCATCAGAGGTCATGTTACAGATAGTTGTTTTGTGTTGGGATACCCGATCTTTGAGGGCACGTATGTTCTTACCTACATAACCAAGACCACAGGGACATTTAAGTAAATAGACTACAAAGTCTGTTTGGCATGTAAAGAACCCTTTTAATTTGATCTGTTGACCCGTCATAGGATGGGTGCAGAATTCTCCTTTAATAACTCCGCTACAATGGTTGCAGCTGAGACAGGGGTAAGTGCCATATACAGGTTTGGAAAGAAATATCTGTGTCTTGTGGGGTGCAGTATCTGCCCTAACTACCATATCTCTTATGGACCAACCCCGTTTATTGGCAAATAATGGAGGATTTTTGAAAAGATGTCCAATCTGCCTGTCTGATTGCAACAAAAAAAGGTTTTTACGCACAATTTTCAGAATTTGGGATGTAAGTGATGAGTAAGTACTTACATAAGGGATTCTGTCATGTTTGGGTCTATCAGGTGTGGAAAGAAGTTCCTCACGGGTCATGTGCAAGGCTTTGCGCTTCACTTTCCGGATAAGGTGAGTTTTGTAACCCTTGTCCAAGACTTTTTGTGAGAAGTCAGTCAGTCGTTCATTAATTATAGTTTCATCATTAACAATGCGTCGAACCCGCAGGAACTGACTGTATGGGATAGAGGAGATCTTTTTAGGGGAATGAAAACTGTTCACATGTAACATACTGTTAGAGTCTGTTGGTTTAGTGTATAGGTCAGTACGTAGGAATCCATCATGCTTGCTAACCTGCACATCCAAGAAATCTACAGAGCTGGTGCTGATGAAACTAGTAAACTGTATATCCCTGTGGAATTGATTTAAAGAAACAAGAAAAGCAGCAAGTTCCGCCCAGGTTCCATGCCATAACTTGAAGCAATCGTCGATAAATCTTAACCACACAATAGCATGAAATCTAAATAGTTTGTGTGGATACACAAGCCGCTCCTCAAAGTCTGTCATAAAAAGGTTTGCATATGAGGGCGCCATATTCGCCCCCATAGCATTTCCTTTAATTTGTTCATAGAAGATAGTGAGATATCTGAAGAAATTCTTCTTCAGAACAATCTCCAGAAGCGTAGTCACAAATGTACAGAGTCTAGAATTTGTTAATACACTAGACAACTTATCACGTTCATTAATGTTAAATTTCCAGCATCTATCTGATACCTCTGGGAAGATTTTCTTTAAGCGTTTTGGTGTTAGGTACCATCTATTTGATCATTTAAATTGGGTTTCTGTAAGGTTTAAACAGTCGATATATTTATTTAAAAACAAATATGAATACCGCACTCAAAACGATTCCAGTAAAGTCTAATCTTGTATTTAATTGCAAAACTATTTATTATAATTATAATTCATAAGTTCATAAAGTCAATCATAGTGAAATTCATATCAATCCTATGTACATAGATTATTTACAAATATACACCCAAAATCCTCCCTATGCTGAATTTCATGAGTTATATATCTATTTACAATGGGTAATGATCCAAAAAATGAATGAAGAAAATCCAGAAAAAATGCAAAAAAATAATAATAATAAAAAATAATAAAAAACGGAAAAATAGAAAAGTAAAAAAGAAAAAAGGGAAAAAGAAGAAAAAGAAAAAAATGAAAAAATATATATAATACAGTCCTGTTGTCTAATAGTCCAAAATATAGTGCACTATATAATTCATGAGTCTATGGATGGATCTCACCAATGTAGAAGTTGGCTTTAAGGTATGCTCAGTAGGAGGATGATGTAGTCTGTAGATGGTGTATAATAGATGAGGGTGGAAATGATTGTAGTTTGGTGGAAAGACAATCAGTCATCTATTCTTAGCAGAATCTGGTCAGTATGACAGGTCATTCAATGATCCATGGAAGTAGGCAATCCTAGAAACGGGCTGAAATGGGCTGCGCGCTCAGGACGTTCCTGTCCCTTCGATGGCCCCTGTTCCTCTCCGTTCTGTCGAAGTATAAACATATCAGTTTAAATATCCTAATTGGGCGGCCCAATTAGGATATTTAAACTGATATGTTTATACTTCAACAGAACGGAGAGGAACAGGGGCCATCGAAGGGACAGGAACGTCCCGAGCGTGCAGCCCATTTCAGCCCGTTTCTAGGATTGCCTACTTCCATGGATCATTGAATGACCTGTCATACTGACCAGATTCTGCTAAGAATAGATGACTGATTGTCTTTCCACCAAACTACAATCATTTCCACCCTCATCTATTATACACCATCTACAGACTACATCATCCTCCTACTGAGCATACCTTAAAGCCAACTTCTACATTGGTGAGATCCATCCATAGACTCATGAATTATATAGTGCACTATATTTTGGACTATTAGACAACAGGACTGTATTATATATATTTTTTCATTTTTTTCTTTTTCTTCTTTTTCCCTTTTTTCTTTTTTACTTTTCTATTTTTCCGTTTTTTATTATTTTTTATTATTATTATTTTTTTGCATTTTTTCTGGATTTTCTTCATTCATTTTTTGGATCATTACCTATTGTAAATAGATATATAACTCATGAAATTCAGCATAGGGAGGATTTTGTGTGTATATTTGTAAATAATCTATGTACATAGGATTGATATGAATTTCACTATGATTGACTTTATGAACTTATGAATTATAATTATAATAAATAGTTTTGCAATTAAATACAAGATTAGACTTTACTGGAATCGTTTTGAGTGCGGTATTCATATTTGTTTTTGATTTAGATTAGGAGGCTGTTGTGGGGTTAAACCTCGAATACCTGCACCTTGCATAATTGAGTGCCAGCACATATTGTGTTTTTGTATATATTTATTTAGATTGTTTAAAGAACTTATCCATTCTTCATCTTCTATATGTATTTGTAGTTCTTTTTCACATTTATTAATTAGTGATATCGGTTTGTCATGTCTCCATCTGTATTCAACTTTAGCACATTTTACTAATAATTTTTTTTAATTCTTTAGTTCAAATAGATGTACAAGGTTTATGGTATTCTCCCCCTTGTTTTTATAGAGATGTTCAGCTAAGAAATGCTTAAAGGACCACTCTAGGCACCCAGACCACTTCAGCTTAATGAAGTGGTCTGGGTGCCAGGTCCTTCTAGGGTTAACCCATTTTTTCATAATTATAGCAGTTTCAGAGAAACTGCTATAATTATGAATGGGTTAAGCCTTCCCCCTAATCCTCTAGTGGCTGTCTCATTGACAGCCACTACTAGCGCTTGCGCTTTCACTGTGATTTTCACAGTGTGAGAGCATGGGCATTGTAAAATGCTCCTATGAGAATGCGCCAGAGCTTTGCCCGCTGCGCATTCAGCCGGCGGGGCGTAACGGAGGCGGAGAGGAGGAGGAGAGCTCTCCGCCCAGCGCTGGAAAAAGGTAAGTTTTTACCCCTTTCCCCCTTCCAGAGCCGGGCGGGAGAGGGTCCCTGAGGGTGTGGGCACCCTCAGGGCACTATAGTGCCAGGAAAACGAGTATGTTTTCCTGGCACTATAGTGGTCCTTTAATTCGCAGATAATTGAACGTTTCACTTAGGGGAATGTTAAATTCCTCCATAATTTGGTTAAAGGGTTTGAGATTCTGTTCCACTACTATGTATGTAAATTTCCCTATTCCCCCAGATGTCCAAATGTCTGCTTTTATATTTTCTAACATATCTGAAATACTTGAGAATGGTAATGACTCTATTATTTTATTTCTAAGTCCTTTGTTGTTTGTAAACTTATCCCACCATCTCGTTAACTCTTTGAGTATCTGGGATTTAGTTTGTTCCTCTCTAATAGATTTTTTATTTACCTCTAAAATCCAATATAATGAGGGTAAATTTCCAACCCCAGTTTTAGCTTTTTCCATTTTGTACCATATTTCTTGAGTTGCCGCATTGCTTTGTGTGAGCATTATATGAAAAAGTCTACTGGCCTGATAAAGATTGCAAAATGTCTGAGCATCCCAAGCCTCAATCCTGCTCGATTTGGCCAAAACTTTCATTTAAACTCTTGGTTTCCTGTCCCCCCTTCCCTCCTCATATGAATTTAAAAAAAGAGGAGTGTAGTAAAGACAGCCAGTTTTCTGGGAAGTTAATAGGAACCATTTTCCACAAGTACAGACATTTTGGCAACATATATGCTTTTAGGATGTTGATCCTACCCGAACATTAAAAAGCCCATGCCTTTCCAATCCCTTAAGTTTTTATTAGATTGTTTTAGTAGGAGTAGGAAACTGGCTTCTATTAAATATTTTAAGTTTGAGGTTATAGTGATACCCAAATATTTTAGTCTATCGTTATTTTCGGGGAACCCAATGTCTTGTACAAGAAATTTAATTATCCTTTTGTTCATATTTTTAGCTATAAATGTTGATTTCTCCACGTTTATTTTGTATCCCGAGACTTTCGAATAGTTGTTTATGTCCTCCAAAAGTTCTGGAACCGAGATGTTTGGTTCTTCTAATGTTAGTAATGTATCATCTGCATAAATGTTTAGTTTAGTTTGTCCTAGGGAGTTTGTGAATCCTTAGATTTTTTTTTGTTTTATCTTCTTAATATCGCTAGGGGTTCTAACACCATTATATACAGTAAAGGGGAAAGAGGACACCCTTGTCTAGTCCCATTTTTAATATTAAAGTTTTGTGATGTAAATCTTGAACCTGTTACTTTAGCTGATGGAGAGCTGTAGAGAGCGGAGACAGCTTGTAAAACTAATCCAGTAATTCCAAACTGTTTTAGGGTGCCGAACATGAAACCCCATCTGTAATAACTGGCTGTGTGTTTATTTAGTTGAATAAGTCTTTTATATATATATATATATATATATATATATATATATATATATATATTTCTTCTTGGACCAAAAAAATGCTCGCAACATTAATATATGTCTATATTAATGAAAAGTACTAATACACAATCTGACATTCTTTATAAAAAATATTCATTTATTCTACTTCAACAGCAAACAATAATATACTTAACAGATGGTATTTCTTAACGACGTTACAGAGAGTCGTCTTTGTATCAGCAACTCAGGACATCAAAGAGGAGAGCAAAACGGATCGTAGAAGGAAGAGAGCATGGTCCTTTGTCCTCTGCCCTATAAAGCCCAAATTACGTCATAACGTTTAGTTTAGACTCTGGCCATATGAGGAAATTCCCCATATAAAGACCACCCCAAATCTCTTATACAGCAAATTCCAGAGACCTCATGGTACAGAATAGCAAACGCCATCTGTTCTGTTTAACCCATTAGACAGCCACACCTTAATATGTATTTGAATAGGAACATATAGAATATGCAATATTCTACACCATCCAACCCTGTGAAACATTTTCCCTGCATCTATTGACAGAAACATTAGAGGGGTTCCATTGTTCTCTGTTTCTTCTAATATGTTTATTATTTTTCTGAGGTTATTAATTGGGGACCTCTCTATAATCAATCCAACTTGGTCATTATTGATTAATTGTGGTATTACTATTTTTAATCTATCAGCAAGAATGTAAGATAGGGCTATGTGAATAGCTAGTTATTTATTTCACATATTAAAATAATATATCTGCCTTCTGGATCTAATTCTTGATGTTTAACAATTAAGGAAACATTTTTTGCAAAGACAAATGCGACACCTCTTTTTTATCTTTTTCTAAAGCTGCAATTATAATAGTGGGGTACCTTGAAGAATTTATTGTATTCTCCTTGGATCTTGTCCAATGGGTTTCTTGCTGGGCACAGATTTGTACCCGATTTTTTTTATCAAAAAAATCTACAGTTATAGACCTTTAACATGGTGTATTAATCCCCCGGGCATTTATTGAGATCAGCTTAATTTATATTTTCTTTTCAGTTTTTGGGACTCACTCTCTCCAAGTGTTAATATATATATGTGAGAAAACAAGAACCCTTCGATTTTAGTATTTACACAAAAATAAGACGGGTTGATCGAAAACAATGGCATCAACCTAAAACAAAAGTATTGTATGGCAGAAAACCCCCGCCATACCGTATCTTGAGTAATAAAATCCATTACTCAGATATAGGTCCCACTTATCCTGTGGGAAAGGCGTACTGAGGGTAGTCGATCTAAGATGAGCCTACCTATAGGCACTACTAGTAGAAGAGAGAGGAGGAGAGAAAAAAAAATTGGGTATAACAAATGATAAAGGAAATCTTAATAATCTTATCCCTTCACACTTTCGTCATAATATTTCATAAATTTTGATATATATGTCATTGTTTCACTATGTCCTTATTTTTCATTGTGCAATACTTGTGTTATTCTTAAATTTATCACTCTTTCCCTTACCCTTAACTTACTTTCCTCCCTATCTAGGTGTGTGCCTTTCTATGTTTTTATAACTTCCTTTAACTTTAATATAACTTTTACAGTGTCTCTTAATTCATTTCCTTCTTGCTACTGTGATCCTAATAGGGATAATTTTCCTTCAGTTTGTGCATTGATTATCTTGGTAAGTGCGTACTTGATCAGATTTTAATATAATCTACAATTCTTTATTTTTTGTTTCATAGTGTGCCCTAAGTTCCTAAAAAACATACTATTTTATATTACCCCACTAGTCCCCTTATCCCCTAATGCTGTTACAAAATATATTTTTTAATGAAAAATATTCAAATAAAAATACAAATAAAAAATAAGTTATCTTTCCTAATTAGAAAGTTGCATACCGCCAATACTTATTTGTTGTCTTTATCTCTCTTTTACCTTCCCCCTTACTCTCCTTCTTCCCCTTCTCCATTTCTTTAAATATTTTGGGTATCCCGATTTGTTGACTGCTGGGTAAGGCTGTTTCAAATTTTATTTTTATTTAACCAGCTTTTCAGGTCTTCTGCATCATTAATGTAGGTAAGTTTCCCTTTGTGTGATATAATTTTCGTAGGAAACCCCCGACAATAATTAATATTGTTCCGTCTCAGAATTAGTGTGCCTTCTGAAAAGGTCTTCCTTTTTGTCTGGTGGACCATGACAAATCCTGGAATATATTTAATGTTTCATATTTTTCTGGGCATTCTTTACTTCTCATGGCTCTCAGAATTTGCGTCTTGATTTTAGATGAGGCACAGCATCATCCCTTGGGAGATGCTCTGGGACACCTTTATGTTTCTTCACCCTGTGGCATCTTTCCATTATGGGAAACCTGCAGTAATTTAAAATCAACAGCCATACATGACTTTTTCATCTCAAACTCACTCACACTACTGGCACTTACAGAGACCTGGCTATACCCCTCTGATATCGCTACTCCTGCCTCTTTATCTTTTGGTGGGCTACAATTCTCTCCCACTCCCAGACTCAACTGTATAGGAGGTGGTGTAGGCACCTTTCTCTCCCCTCAATGTACCCTTCAACAAATCATAACTCCCCCTGCCCTATCCTTTTCTTCTTTTGAAGTTCACATTGTCCGTCTATTGAAACACACTCCTTTAAGAATTGCTATCATCTACCACCCCCCGGTCATCCTAGGCTATTTATTGAGCACTTTTCTTCCTGGCTTCCCCACTTTCTCTCATCTGGCAATACTTCCCTTATACTTGGGGATTTCAATATACCAATCAACAACCCCAACTGCACTGATGCCTCTCCTCTGCTCTCTGTAACCTCCTCCTTTGGCTTTACACAATGGTCCAATTTAGCAACCCATACTGTGGGGAACACTCTTGATCTCGCCTTCACCAATCTCTGTACCGCCTCGAATCTCTCCAGTATTCATTTTCCTCTATCTGACCATCATCTGCTGACTTTTGACATCAGCATACATAAGACCCAATTGACACCACCGTCTGAATATCAGTCTCACAGAAACCTCCAATGTCTTGACCTAGAGCATTTCTCCACTAATCTCCAAACTCTCCTTTTACCTATCTCAAACTCCACCTGTCCTAGCTCTACAACCTCCTTCTACAATTCTACCCTCTCTCCTTTCAACTAGACATCATGGCACTTCCTACATTTAAACGCAGCAAGCGCCCCCAACAACAACCTTGGCACACCAAGCTGACTCGATATCTTCAAAAATGCTCACTGTGCGTCTGACTTTCTCCACTATAAATTAATTTATACTGCGCTCATACTGCTTGACTCTTTCCTCTGCAAAAGTAAATCACTTAAATACCCTCATAACCACACTCTCCCGCAAACCCAAACAACTATTTCACCCATTTAACTATCTTCTTCGCCCTATTGTTCCTCCTCCACCTCCTAACTTGACCGCCTCAGACTTTGCAACTCACTTCACTGACAAGATCTCTACAATCAGGGAAAGATCTCTCATCTTTCTTCTTCCCCTTACAATACTTCCCCTAACCTCACTCCCTCTGCTGTTCTATGTTCATTCGCACCTGCTACAGCGGAAGAGGTTTCTGCGCTGCTCCAGTCCTCCCGCCACACCATCTGCTCCCTAGATCCAATTCCCTCACATCTCATCCATACTCTGTCTTCTTCTCTTTCTCTACCTCTCACTAAAATTCTCAATCTCTCTCCTCTGGCATATTTCCATTGCCCTTTAAACATGCAACTGTAACCCCAATTCTAAAGAAGCCCAACATTGACCCTAACTCCCCGTCCATCTACCGTCCTATTTTGCTACTGCCTTTTGCATTCAAGATCCTTGAAAGAGTTGTGTATGCAAGATTGACAGACTTCCTCGAGTCCAATTCTCTGCGAGACCCGCTTCAGTCTGGTTTCTGCGCTAAGCACTCTGTAGAAACGGTACTGACCAAAGTATCCTATTATCTACTCGCTGCAAAATCTCGTGGTCACTACTCTATCCTAATTCTCCTTGACCTTTCTGCGGCTTTTGACACTGTTGATCATCAACAGCTTCTTCTCATCCTCTGCAATATCGGTCTACAAGATATTGTTCTCTCCTGGTGCTCCTCCTACCTCTCCCAGCGCTCTTTCAGTGTTTCTTTCTCTGGCTCTACTTCTTCTGCCTAACTCCTCTCTGTTGGTCTCCCCCAAGGTTCAGTCTTTGGTCCCCTACTGTACTCCATCTATACTGCCTCTCTTGGTAAACTCATTAGCTCCTTTAGCTTCCAATATCATTTCTATGCGGTTGAAACACAAATCTATCTGTCCTCTCCTGATCTCTCCCCGTCCCTCTTGACTAGTGTCTTTGACTGCCTCTCTGCTATTTCTAACTGGATGACTGCCCACTTCCTTAAACTCAACTTGACAAAAACTGAAATTCTGGTCTTTCCTCCCTCAAGTGTTGTTACTCCTGTGTCTGTCTCCCTCCAAGTCAACGGTGCTCGCTGCCTAGGTGTTCTCTCTGACTCCGACCTCTCCTTCATGTCTCATGTTCAGTCTGTTGCCAAATCCTGCTGCTTCCATCTCAAAAACATTGCGTGCAACCGACCCTACTTAACGCCAGATGCGACTATGGTGCTGGTCCATTCCACTGTCCTTTCTCGCCTTGACTACTGTAATCTGCTTCTTAGTGGTCTTATGTGCTCCCAACTTGCACCGTTACAGTCCATAATGAATGCGTCGGCGAGGCTCATCTTCCTGTCCATCCGCACCGCCCACGCCTCACCCTTCTGTCAGTACCTATATTGGCTTCCTTTAAGATATAGGGCTCAATTTTAAATTCTGGTTCTTGCTTTCAAATCTCTACATAATGCTGCTTCCACCTATCTATCCTCCTTAATACTCAAGTATGTCTTGTCTAGGCCCTTATGCTCTGCTGAAGACTTACGTCTATCTTCTGTCCGTACTCCCACCTCTGATGCTTGCCTTCAAGACTTCTCGAGGGCTGCACTGTTCCTGTGGAACTCACTTCACTCCTCTGTTAGATGCTCACCCAGTCTCCACTCCTTCAAAATCATTAAAAACCCACTTCTTCATAAAAGCGTATCAATTAAACTGTTAATAGCTCCCGACTGAATTCTCTCTTGCAAATGTCATTAGTCTAATACTATCCTTACCTTTTGTGTCACTTTACCCCACTCCCTCTTGCATGAAAGCTCATTGAGCAGGGCCCTCAACACATCTGTTCCTGCATGTCCAACTTTATGGTTACAACTACATGTTTGTTTGTCCACCCACTGTAAAGTGCTGTGGAATTTGTTGGCGCTATATAAATAATAACATAATAATAATAATAAAAAATAATTCCTCTATGTATGGTTCTAGATTTTTTAGATTTATTTGTTTTGATACTCCTCTAATTCTTAAATTATTCCATCTTGACCGGTCTTCTAGGTCTATCAATTTGTCCTCCATGTTAGACATCTTTTTCTCTAGCGCCAGGTGTTCTTCTTTGTGGAAGTTTTCCTTGTGTTCCAGCCCATATAGTTTTTCTTCTATTCCTAGGAGTCATTGGTTAAGAGTCAGCAGTTCTTGCTTGATGTCTCTAGTATTAACTTGAATTTCTTCTCTTAATTCCCTGAATTGTGTGTCTATCTGACTAAGTAGTCATATTAATTTCTTCTCTATGTCTTGACTCTTGTTTTTCCTCCATTTGTCCTTTATTAATACCTTCTTCTAAAGGGGTGTTAGAGAGAATCGATTCCTCCATATTTGTTTTATTGATTGATGGATTTGGTGAAAAGAAGGAAAGTTGTTTTTCTCTTTTATTTTAAGTGCTTGCTGTTTTGTGTCTTTTTTGTAGCCATTTAGTTTCAGTTTTGTATTTATAGTCTGATATATTTGTTTCTTTTCCTTTAGGTTATATGCTATTTGGGCTATTGCTGTCTTAACCTTTTCATATAATGAACTTTTATAGCTTATTATCTTTTTACCTCGTTTTTTACCTAAATCCTTTTCTTCTGCACACCCTTACCTCTCTATCCTGGCACACCTTTATATTTTATTGTTTTTTATTCTGTTGTTCGAACCTTAATGCTTGCCTTTTTATTTTTTTTCTCCCTTTTTTCTTTCCCTTCTCTTTTTTGGGGTAATGGAACAATAAAATAAAATAGATACATTTGGATAGAAGTGCAAGGCCTTGTGGTAATATTATACAAAAAGTTCAGGGACCACCTGGAAAGTCAGATGCTGATGCAGACCCACTTGGCTTGTTAATTTAGCACGCTATAGACCAGCTACAATCTATTCCTCGCTATGGGCAGGGATTAGTTTAGTTTAGGTAGTCTTTGAATCATATGTTGCCCTCAATATGTTGCTCTCCCTTCACTTTCACCTCTTTATTTCTACTAACCCCTGTAGTATTAATTAACAGTGTGTACAAAATAAGTGTAGCAAGTGATTGTCAATTAGCACTTAACTTGAGAATCCAAACTTGCGATTTTCCTTTGTTGTCAGTGTGAATGTTCACGCTGGATACGCTCTCCTATGCCAGGCTCCCTTAGACCTGTCCGCCGTGGTGACCTTCTACGGTTTTGGTACTGGGAGGAGTTTCTCTTTAAGATTTCACCCTATAAAGATATTACAATATGGCACTCACCTGGTGCCCCAAGTAGACACCACATTAGTTACACCATCAGACACCTTTGCCAATATTTTTGATGCCCACTCATGTTTTAGAGGCATGGCTACCAAGGCAAGGCCCAGGTCTATAAATACTTGATCTTTATATTTGTTCAGTGCAATGCTGTGGTTTCCAATGTGGTTATTCGAGAGCGGTATTTTTCTATACTCTGATTCCTGATTATTGATTTTGGCTTGTCATGCCTACTCTTTTTTTCTGTATCCCTGACCTTGGCTTGTTTATCGATTTAGTGTATCTTCATTGCCCTTGACCTTGGCTTGTTATTTGACATTTCTATCACTTGTTCTTTGCAACCCGGCAACTCCAAGGTCCAGTAATAAATAGTGCTATCTACTGTATTCCCATCCTGTACTTGTGCGACCTTATTCTGAGTGTTGGGTTACCAATCCTGACATACCCTTCAATTTGCATTTACTTAGTAAATTAATTTTGGAAACATTGGTGAAAAATTTTCTGTGTGCCTTATCAATTTAAAACTTGATGTCCCATTACCCATCTCCTTTAACAAGCTTAGAATAACACCCATCAGAGCCCTTCTAGATTGTAATAAAAACATTTACTGTTGTAAAATGGCAAATGGTTTTGCACACTAGGAAAAAAATTTAAAGCAATAGAATTAAATTGTTGCATTATATTGTTATTAATATTGTTATGATTAGTATATAATGCACTTTGTAGGTTTGATAGTGAACTTTCTGGGCAACAATATATAAAAGCCAATATATAGTCGATGAATGGAGAACTTATGAACTATCATTATGAAGGTCTGTTATTGACCAGCAGTGTGTATATACAAAAGAGAAAACTGCAAAAATGCACACGCTATAACAGTTAGAGAACAGATCTTACTTCTAGAATATAGTCTTAGGAAATCTTGCTTTATTTTTTAATGAATGCCATTACTTTAATGAGCCAGTAACACCTTACCTGAATATAAATGGCTTTTTATATAGAATTGCACACTGAGTTATGTTTAAATATGTATATAACATTTATGAGATTTGTTATTTTACTGCTGCGGGAAGTCTTGCATTCTACAAAAAGGCTGCAGGGGAATTTAAGAGGAAAAAAATGCCTATCTGAAGTCAGTGCTATAGTCTGATTTGTTGCTTAGTGTTTCCAGCCAATCAGAACATGT